AAAAAAGAAAAAAATGCGTGGGTCAACTGTATTATCAAGTCTTAGAGGTGAGGTATAATTCCGTGGTGTTGACAAAACTCAGCCGAGACGGAGCCCATGTTTCGGTAATGATGGTCGGAGCACACTTTTGATAATGGTGCACCTTATCGAATATATATGATATATGGCTTCTTTCGAAGCAGGATGCGCAGCCACGTGAATAAAGAGTCACAATGCAAATGCTGCAAGTTTTCACGTTCGTAGTATTCTTCGGGCTTTTTCCACCGATAAAATGCGACGTCATCGTCACTTGCCGGTTCCTCGGGCTTCGCAAATGGGTGCCGGAGATGGGAGAGAAAATCTTACTCCAACACTGAACTCTGCAAATACGGCAAATCGGTAAATGTCCCGGATGGCACTGCATAATCTACAGTACTGGCGTGTCAGAAAACTCTTTGCTTTATTTGCAGCAGATCAAGCGCATTTCTTCTAACAATTTTTTGCTGTGATATTACTAGTAGTACTGTACCGAACTACAGAAGTCCGTATCTGTAAAGTGCAGAGAAAGAAAATATCGTGTTACGTCATTTAAGCATACATGAATTATCAAAGCAAAAAAGTAGAAGAAAAACTCATTGGCGAGGCGAGAAACAGAGTGTCTCACTTCTCGGGATATGACCCAGTCATAACATAGTCTCAATTCTCTGCCCGCACAAGTAGGGTTTGGTTTGCCCCACTCTCTGCGTCTGTGTTCTCTTTCTTTTGGCTGACCTCAAATCAAGCTTTTGAAGCTGCATTTGTCTGAAACAGCGCAGTCGCCAGTCACGCTGCCAGGTTGAATCGGTTACGCCAGTTATACCTCGAGATCGAAGAGTGTGCGTATTTGACTATTTGTCTTGGATTTCCATTTCTTGTATGGTTTTTGTGGCTCCTCAGCGCGGCCTACAGTCTGCACATCCGAGCTTGTTTCCAAGGTAAATGTGCCTGAAAGTTCCTTTCGATGCTTTTAATCAGTCATAACTAAAACTGTCTCTTTATGCGCCATGTTGAACACCTTTAAATATTGTTATTTAACTATCTGACGGAACGATTTAGGTTGGAGAGCCTGAGATATTGGTGCTTGGATCTGGCCTCATTTTTGATTTTAACTGCCAATTGCTGCTCTCAATTATGGAAGTGGGGATATCCTTACGGCGTTCCAGTCGCCTCACACTAAACGGTAGAATCAAAATTATTAGCAATAGCATGGATTGCTAGCTTAATTTAACCGCTAACAAGTTATGTAACTTGTTAGCTGTTAAATTAAATTGCAGCAAGTTAAATACTACTTAAGTTTTGTTATTGTCAGCTGTCATGAATCGTCATGCAGCAGAAGCACCGCGCGACGATCGTCAGTCCCCGGAATTTCCCGAATCAAAAGCCAAGACCAAAAACACCCAGTCTGCCGAGCGACAGTACATACGACGCAAAACCACTGATCAACAACGCCAGATGATCTACAACATGTTCGAGCAGGGATTTAGTGGGGTAACGATCGCCCAGCGCGCTGGTATCACGCTTCAAAACCTTTATAGGGAGCTCGTGCTGGTCGGTAAAACACTATCGCAGCGAGGTACTAATCTTTTGCGAACCACAACCGAAAACATTAATACGAAAATCTCCGAATCATATTTCTTCCCTTATTAGCTGGCCGGAAGAGCCTTTTGCGTGTCACCCCAGCACAGCAACGGATGATCATAAAGCTGTTTGACCAGAACATGGACCTCAAGGAGATTTCTCTTCGCGTCCACCTTGGAGTTACCACGGTGTCCAATGTACTGTACTTAGCTGGCAAAGATGTCCGCAAGCGCCATTTGCAGAGTGAGAACCGCAGTTTAATAACAGTTATTTGTACCCGAGTTGGGTTGAAATTCAAACTCACTGGAGGCGTTTTCAAAATATTTTGAGATGGCATTTCAATTTAAATGAAACATAAGTTGACACTAGAAGAGCAAACAGTTATTTCAAATATTATTTTACGAAAAATTTTCGCTATTGGGTAATAACATGACTGATCCTTCCCAAACGGCCAAACCGAACCGACGTTTGCTCTACTACGTAATTCACTACCGTCTCATGCAATTAGCCGCGTAAGCAGTAACGCATAATCTATTTGTTACCGCAGCCGTTTGCATTGTTATGTTTTCAAACCGGAAAAGCATCCCCAAGCTGGGGAGTTATTCCGTGATATCGTTGTTATCTTTTTTTCCTTTTTGCAGCAAAACATGACAAACGGTAACCAAGATATGATGCAATAACCGGCGAACCTTTAAATATTGATGTTGGGCCAGCCCTGGCCTGCAGTGAACGTTAGTTATGCAAATAAATGCAAGAAATTAAATATTTCTCGTTAAAATTTAGCAGTTGTCAGCACTTTTCTACGATTATTTTAACTATTTGGAAATGGCTGCTCGTGCCATCCTGACACGACCTTTGAGATTTTGTTGTTTTCACCTTCTTTCATGACGTTTTAGATTTTCGCCCCCCCCCTCGCCCTGTTTTAATATATCTTATACCACCCTTGCAATTCGCACAACACTGGCGGTCGAAATCATCACCCAGCACGTTCACCGCATTAGATGTGTTCCGTTCAACCTTTCTTGATTTTTTATTATCAAGTTTGAAACAGTGAATCGACTGGCCGATTTCCACTCTTTAGCCCTGACTGTATAATTTTGTGTGTGCCTTTTCCGGAAGTCAGAAAAGTGCATTGGTCCCTGCTTTCCAGAACTACGGATCGCGTGGAAAGTAGGCAGGGCGAAGAGAGCGGCCCAGAATTCTCTGTCTCGTCAGCACGCGAAAGCCACCCTTGAAGCTGGCCCACCACTGTACAGGTGCCCCTCGCCGATCGAAGATGCTGCTGCCGTCGAAACGCTTCTAATTGGTCCAGATATTCGGACAAAAGACCGGTCGGAATCCGTCACCCGAGTGGAAAACACGAGCGACGGCCATGGTGCGACAGGATCGCTCCCGCACCGGTGCGAAGCAGACAGCCGTTCTACCGGGGACCTGGAGTCCAAAATCAAGGAGGTCATCATTGACTGTCATGGCTCGACACATCGACACAGGTACCGCTGCGACGCTTGCCAGTTCACGTCGGATGTCGAGCAGCAGCTGGTCTCCCATCTTTTCAGCCAGGGGCACCAATGTCTGGCGCACAACGCCCAGCTGGCATGTGCCGATTGCCGGTTCAGGAGCAATCAAACGGTTAAGATGGTGCGCCACTGTCTGAAGCACTCTGCGTCCGCCCTACGCCATTAAGGCTTTTATTCCGCTTGTATGAGCAATGGAATGTAGTATCGCTGAATCAACTGCTTATAGTGTAACACTGAGTTTTTCTGATTTGGTTATTTGCACCCGTTCTACAGTTCTCAGCTTGCTGCCAGCTGTTGCTATGTCTGCTTATTGCGTTATTTAAGGCTGGTTATTGCCATCTCAGCTGACAGCAGATAACATAGCTGACGTTTTCGTGTTTTTGTTTTACGTATTCGCACTGTTTTAAGCACTGTAAATTTAACTTTGAAATGCTACTAATATCGGTAAGAACGGTTCAATTACTGTATACATTTAAAGACAGACAAAAAACAACAAATAAGCCGTGCACGTTCCAAAAGATTCCGGAGCGGAAATATAACGTTTAATGGGAAGTACATAACTAAGGCTTTGAGCGAAACTCCAGGATCGGTACAGCTGCGGTTTGTTGATACTGTTAACAAACCGCACCTATAACGATCTACTGTACTACTGTGCAGTAGTACCAGCAGAAAGCTCAAAATTAAATGTCCACCAGGGTCCGGTTCAACAGCTTCCCAGCAACTGAGGTCTGCTAACTCATTAAAGTCGCTTTTATTGATAGGGCAAGGTTGTTACTTGTCGTTTGTGTGGTTTGACCGGTTTCCAAATCCAGTGGTAAGAAACCACTATTTTATTATGTCTCACAGAATTTCGTTTTAGTCAGTGATGCTAGGGTAGTTTAAGTACTTGCGGCTTTCAGTACAGGGCAAAAGTTATTGCTAAATGCTGTTACTTCTAATTGAAGTATTACACTACTGCCAGAATCCCGACAATGCACTGCATTATTTCGGTCAAATATAGATACATAATTAAAAACCGCGTGTAATGCACCACCTGTGGTACTACTGCTAATAATTATCAACTGACGCAGTGTGCCGGCGCATTTTGTGTTTTCGATCACTTCATTAGAAAGAAAAGAATTAACAAGATGCATCGAAGGTCTATTGAATGCAAAGAGCGGTGCCATACAGTGCTCTGTTCTTGCGTCACCAATGCGTTAATTCTCCGGATACTATAATGCTTTTCTGAAGTCACAATAAAGATCACTAATTACGCTTTCCTATAAGCACAATTTTCGCCCAGTGCGTTGTATACAGTACTATTAGACTGTGATCTGGCTTAGGTGCTTTTCATCTGCGCGTGCCGTTACTGTGGTCGGCAGAAAAGGTTGGTTTTATCAAGATAGCCAATTTAATGTCATGCAGCCTTTTTCAGCTATCAAAGTTCAATTTGTGCGTAAATAACGTAATTGTAGAGGGTTAGTTTATTGCTCGAAGTGCATCGCCAAGTGTTTTTGTTATAAAATATATAGCAGAAATAATATAATTATAATACTTCGGCTGCACCTCATTAATATGGTCTTTCTGCAGAAATACAAATAATGTCAATGTTTAGTCCCAGGCCCCACCGACACTGAAAAAATCTGTACGTACTATTCCCTTAACGTGGTTACAGTTGCTATCACCCGAAGCGAGGAAATGTGCATTGCACGGTTGCACCTCGTAAAAGTAATACGTTCCACTCGCGAAATTTTATTTTCTGAATACGTATACTCTCGAAGTATGAAATCCGAACGTTGTACTTGTTTCCCGCTGCATGCTGCAGGTTTCCGTCGTTCCGCGACAATCCAAGTTGCAAATTAAACGCATACAGTTCACGTGGCAACTTAGTTGCAGTTTGCTGCGCGTACTATGCTAAGATTAATCCCAAAAATTTTCTCTTCTGCTCCGGACGAGCGTTACGGGTGTATGCACTATCATGACATATTCACCAGTGCGCTGCAGTGCAAGACGTAGCATCCTCGATGGCATGATAAAACGCTCCCGAACACACCCTGAAGAAAGTGGATTTTGCGGAAATCAACATTATGCTCTACAATACACAACACAGGCGGCTTAAGAAAAGTTTCCGCTTGGTAAGTTAGCGCTAAAGTGTTCCGGTTGTCGGTTATGGCCTGCCAAACTTCATACAAAATTCTTAACGCTTCCGTGCATTGCTTTCGGAAAGTTGTTTAAGTAAGTGATGAAGTATTTATGGATAATTAAAAAATGTTGGGGTGTATCTGTACGTCCGATGCATGTACTTACTGCATGTGCATAGATGTCAAAGATATTGACGTATTTGCGACCGCAAAACTGGAACTGAATTTGCCGTTGCATTCTCTTCAATAATGTGGACAAGTCTGCAAATATCGGTCTTTTAGCTTTATTATCCAACGATCACCTAGTTTAATTGGCAAAGAAATGATTCTTCAAACAGGCAATAACACAACAGCATTATCCAACAGTGCAGCTCTGAATGGGAGCTGGACAGCCTCACTCTGTTTGAAAGTATCAGTCACATTAGCGGCCTTCGCTTTAAACGCCTCGTTAATCACCTTTCACACTATTCGACGGTCGTGTATAACCAACTTCACCGTATATGTTTTGGCGCTGTTTGTCGCTAATTGTATATACATGATTGGTGTCCCGTCGTGGCTGTTGTACGCCGAGTTCTACAACATCAATATTGGAATCTACGGCTGGTCGGTATGTATCTTCCTCAACTACTGCCAACGCATCATCAGCGTAGTACCGGTGTGGGCGCACGTCCAGATGGCCGTCAACCGTTTAATAGCCATTCGTTATCCCGTTTTCTACCGCGCCCATCATACCAGAAAAGCCGCTGTGGCTATCTGCTTTGGCACTGTCGCATTTGTCCATGTTATCTCGTTGCCGGGATTTGTGTGCAGCATACCATATCGTTACCGTCCTATAACGCCCTACAACGGGGTGTGCGAAGACAATGTGCAGTTGTTTTACCATTGGATGCGCGCCGATAATATCGTGAATCGCATGCTGCCTTTATGCTTAATTGTCCGCATAATTTTCTGTAATAACTTTTTTGATAGTTATGGCGTCGGCTGTTTCGCTGTCTCTCTAAAATTATTCATTTGAATTTTCATGTGAGGTGTTTTAGAAATTTTTGTTGTTGGACTGGCTGACATGGACACTGGCTACAACGGAATTCATCAACAAATGATGTGACTTCTCACTTACTGCCGCATGCGATCAAGCTCGGATGCGTGTCCGCGGCACAACTCCAAGGATACTGTGCTGGCGTCGTAGTCAGCGGTGCATCGGTCGATGCCGGAGAGTAATCGGTGGGAGGCTGACATAACAGGGTGACAGACACTAAAAGGAAAATGCAACCTTTATTCTTTTCGTAGTCTTTGTATTATAGAATCTGCGTATGTTAGGAAAACAGAGCGGCTGGGAGATTGTTAGTGCGTTAGCAGTTGCAAGGTATATTCCATAAACCGCACAAAGTACATTCCCTAATCATACTGCAGAAACGCTAGCAAATTACACAAAACATGATATTACTCCAAGCAAAATTTGATGGAAACACCTGATATCAGAACAATCCAACTGACTAAAACTGGAAAAGACAACATTATAAGCAATCTCTGTCAGTTCGTCCGCAGTGCTAATATTAATTTGTTGTCTTAAGCCTGAGTTGAAAACGATCGTTGCTTGCAGACCCCTGCAGAAGAAAATTCGAGCTGGCTTCGTTAAAGTTGATATAATTGTGGCGTAGAGCGATGTTTACTATGGCGTATGTTTTCTGTGCGACTGTGCGTCCGTTGTCTTTTAGAGGTAATGCACTCTCATGGAAGTCGTGGCATGCAGTTCAAAGAAAATTGCAAGTATAACTGTCTGTTGCTCGTTTGCTTTTGTGAATGTTGGCAGTCAGCAGTATCACTTGAGAACAGCCGTGTACAGCAGCAGCCAAACAGTTTATTATATGGCATTTTTAACAAACACAATGAGAGCAAACTCATTTTTTCTGCAGGTAGGTCGCTCGTACATCGTTCTGGTGGCTTGAAGAATTGCGAGTAGGGTAGAGTTAGTGAATTTACGGTTAGTAATACGGTTTATCATTTGGACAACAGTTGTGATTTAACGATAATCTGTGTTTCTGTGCGTGAGCGCTAGCTATTGCATATATCATAATCAATGCATGTGCATGCTGATACTCGTATTAATGCGCTTTGAAAATTTTTTCAATATTTTCCTTAAGTGCTAACAGCGTAACACACACCGCCGCAGTATCTGCCATAATTACTAGTGGCAAGCATTTTAGGCTCTTTGAGGAGTTTTATTGCACGGATACTTAAACGTTATTGAATATTATATTTTAGCATTTCAGAAACAAAGACAAGTGTATCTCAGCGTTTCTTCTCATCAAAACCTTTCGGAAAACCTCATGGGAAAAACCGATGTTTAGCGATGCTGAAAAACGTCGTGCGAATGATATACACAAATAGGTGATTTGATTCATCATTACATGGATGAGATGCTTTTCGCTTACTAACGAAATTGTATTCTGTCCTTCTGTGACCCATCACTGCCACTTTATTGTATTTTATCGTTAGCAGTAAGTACTATTTTTAAATGATAAGAGAAACATCTTTCTTATTTGCCGCTATTCTGGCTGTTTTCGGCAGTCGCACCGTAAGGGGGAGAATGCAATACCCAGATTACAGGATCGCAGAGGATCTGCAGGCTAAAAAATGCATGACCGACAAAGTACCATTAGTTGGAAAGTGGAAACACGGATATGAAAGAACGTAAGGACAAAATACGTTATACTGACCGGAACGCAACAGACAATTACCGAAGCATAAGATGAGATGAGAAACTGCGCGGTTCTGGCCCGTTCTACAATTCTCGCCTGGGGCGATTTACAGTAGATGTCATGTGACTCTCGCAATCGTTACCCGGGAGTGCTTCCGTGTTATAAGCGACTGTTTAACGGCGTCTCCGGAGTCACAAATTGCCTCCTAAATCGGGTGTGTATCTGTATTTTTTAAGGAGATGTCGAACAAAAACGTATGCGTAGAGATAAACAACCAGACACATTGGGATTATTCGATTGATGACATTGTCCACTTAGCGCCAATGGTAAATTGCCGCGAGATTATCAGCGCATGATCCATATGCCAGCGTAATGGTGCGCATGATCCACGCATGATCCATCCACGCATGATCCATCCACGCATGATCCATATGCCAGATCATTAACGCGGTTTTCCTGGTGTTATGTTTGCGGTAGAACACTGGAAAGTGGGAAACGAAACGCCACCATCCGGTTGACGGCCATCTGAACGTGTGCCCATAACGGGATCACGCTGACCACTCGCAAGCAGTACGTATACAGTATGCACTTGATCCAGCCAAAAAAACCTAGAAATAGATGTATCGACGTCTGTGATCACAGACGTCCAACAGATCTGCGTATAACTGCCACGGCTGCACACCGATCATATAGATGCAGTGACGGCAAAATATAACGCCAAGATAGAGACGGTAAAGTTGGTCATGTAGGACGGGTGGTCCACTGCGTGGAAAATAAGCAGGCCAGTGTTCAGGATACAGACAGCTTTGGTGATAGTAAGAGACCTTACCTGCCAGAGTGTCCATGTAACAGTGTAACCACGTGGAGTCAATAATGAGCTGATTTTAAGCTGCTGGTGGGGTGGAGATTACCAGATTCTCCACGGATTCTGTTGTCAAGTTGCCTTCAAGATAACTGTTCATGAGCCGGCTTATGCTGCAAGGAGTTCGCAGCTTTAATATGTAATATTACGGATTACCACAAATGCTGCCTGTCCACCATAACTGTCCCTTTGAGAACTATCTGCTTACTTGGCCATCGTAAATTTGAACTGGGGCTACCAGAACATTCACAGTTTGCAAACTTCTTATAAGAATGTCATGGAAAACTGTTATTATGCGTGCACCTGTTTCCTCATATATTGTACAACACAACGTCGAGTTGTAAAACGATGCGGACAGAAAATGTCAAAAAACTGGACAGTACTAGAGTGCTTGTGAGAAAGCTGTATAGAGTGCGCACATAATCAATATAGATGTTAGAATTTATGAGTGTAACCGTTACCAATGTCTGTTACTCATGTTGGCACCCAGCCCCTTTGTCATACACCGGCCTTAATGGCGAAGTTGTTACTCAGAAGTTTAGTCAATCTGACTGTTTTACTGAGTATATAAGATGCTACAATTACAATGTTAACGACACTTGAATTACTCTTCATTAAAGCAAACTACCAAAACCACCTTAATTGTATCAGATTATGAGACTGCTTGTCTCTAAGCAGTGTTCAGTTTGTTTTATCATTGTTGCGTGGATACTACAATAGCGCAGTTGAAGAGTATAAAGGTCACCGAGTTAAACGACTCCAATTACTCGCGATGGAGGGTTCAAGTGGAGGACGTGTTGACTGGTGAGTCTTTGTGGTTCGTTGTGAAAGGGACACTAACGATGCCCCAGGATTCGGCAACGGATAAAGCAGCGCATGAGCACCACCTGAAGTGGATAGCTGCCGATGGAAAACCCAGAAGCATTTTGCGTGCCACTGTGGATGATACCACCTTCAGTCAGTGTCGGGACTGCAAGACGTCCGCTGAGATTCTGAAGAGGATCCAAGAGCTGAAAGAGCCGAAGACTGATAACGACTTGATTTCGGCGATGACCGAGATTTTCGAAGTCAAGTGGAAGGAGGTAGACGACGCAAATACATTCATGGCATCATTGTATGTTCTAGCGGCAAAGATAGACGCGTGCTGGAAGCCGGAAAAGGTTACCGACACCTGGTTGATCGGTAAGACGCTGGCCAGCTTGCCCAAACTGTACGCCTCGTTTGTGTCGTCGTGGAACATGATGGCCGGTCCTAATCCTGAGATGTCCAAGTTCCGGGAAAGGTTGCTCCTAGCGGAAAAGATGATGAAGGGACAGGGAGAAGGAAGCGGATCCAGTCCAGCTGGTGAGTCGCTGTACGCAAAAGGTAAGCGACTACCAACTGGAGCGAAAAAGAAATTCACCGGAAGTTGCCACAACTGCGGCAATGCGGGTCATAAGGAGGCAGATTGTTGGTCCAAGCCAAAAGGGAAACAGTCACCAACAAGCGACAGGACAAGTCCGGTCACGCCTACAAGAAAGAATCGATGATGGTGTCAGCCATGCATGCGACTGGAAGTGAGGATGTGATCATCGCCGATAGTGGGGCAAGTGACCATATCACGAATAAATACAACTGATTTAAAACTCTAGTTAAGCTAGATGTTCCCAAATCGTTCGTGGTTGAAAAAAGTCAGAGCATCAAGGCCACCCATATTGGCACGATTGACGTCGAAGTGTCCGTCGATGGGAAGCAGTGGCGCGAAGTGGATTGGAAGAATGTCTTCTATGCACCAGATGCATGCGACACTACGCTGCTGTCCACGGTGACCTTGGATCGAGAAGGGTTCGCATTTTCCCACGCTAAAGGCAAGATGACAATCAGCAAAGATGGCAAGCCGTTCCTGGGTGGAGTGCGAGGTGACCGTGCAACGTACCGACCTTTCATACGTGTGGTGCCGCCAAATGGAGGTGCGCTGAAGGCGCAGCCTGTGGGAATTTGGCACCAACGACTTGGACACGCCAGCGACGTGTCATAGTGATGTGTGTCATATGGGCGCAGACTCCTGGGAAGGACCTCTTGATGTTCAAAGATGGAAGCAGCGGATACAGAATGGTCCATACACTACCAAGTAAGCACTCTGTGGCTAATGCATTCAAAGAACTCATTATCACAGGAGAAAGAGAAACTGGTAGAAAGGTGTTGTCGATGCGCACGGACAACGGGACTGAATACATCAACCAGGATGTTGAAACGCTGTTTCAGAACAGAGGGATAAAGAACGAAAGAAGTCCGGCGTACGTGAAGCAAGCAAACGGCACGGCAGTTTTCGAGCAACGTAAGAGGATCCTCTGACGTTGCTCGAAAACTGGAAGTTCTCTGCCACAATCAACGTTCTCTCAGACATTTGAACATGAATATCAAATTGAATTGGTAACAGATATCTCAAATTAATATGTTTATAACTACAAAATTTGAACTAGAAAAGAATTACTTCAAACAACGATTAAACATACCAGTGTGAGCGGAATGCGGCAGATTCCGACAGATAATTAAATTAATGTAGAACTAATACAATCCAGAATTAATGTTTTAATGTTTATTACGCTGAAATGCAGAGAACAGTTTTCCATACAACCGATCTGCGATTCTCACAGCGCAGTAAGATGTGACGGGACAATCTTAAGCCATAGTAAATATACGCCTTTAGCTTTGTGGACAACGCAGTCAGCAACTTTCTCGCTGAACGTCGTGCGGCCCTTGGAAGGCTACATTCTACTCCCTCTCTGCCCAGTTTCCCCTGCCAGAAATAAGTTCTGGAACCTTCCCCTTTTTTTCAACAATTTTTCTAGAGTTAAATGGTCTACGTTCTACAGTCTATACACATTTTTCTTACATGTCAGTGGTGTCACATATGGTGAATCTAGGGAAACAAGTCCACCGTCACACACCACTTACCAAACTGGCTTGCATGGGCTAAGCTGAGTGGAATGTATAAGTACATTCAGCTGACCAGTTAGGCGGGGGCACCGCTACAAGTTCTTTTCCAATGGAAAATCGAAGCTGAAGCGAAAAGTGGAGCTACGCGCTTGTATATGCTACGACTGATCTCCGTCGTATACCACATATAGTTACGCTGGTCACGATTCGGCTATCGCCTGGAATCTGCCGCAAAACTAATTCATACAGATAAACAGATGTTTACCAAACTGTTCGCATGCTAACCTGTAAAACGGGAGTGCATAAAGTCAAATGCAGATTTGCTGATTATCCGGCTCAATGAATGAAACTAGCGGTTAAAAACTACGAATGAAACCAGCCACGATTTTTACGCATAAAGTTCATTTTTACACTTCATCTGATGGGCTGGCACTTAATTTTATAAAAATTCTTCTAAGTAGAATGGGGTTTTCAAACTAATAACATAAATAAAGGCGGGGGATGTCAAAAATAAAGAATTTAGTTCTGCATTCAGCCCGGGTTCACCGATTGTCCAGCCAGGACGGTGCAGTTTAGTTATCATTGGTAGAATGGTGCGATTTTCTTCCCGTAGAAGTCCTGCAGCTGCATTCACAGTTTACATGAAATTTCGATTTCGTATATCCTGAATTTTTCGCACCTTATTATTATCAAGTTAGTGTCGTTTTGGAAGCAATGCCGAAAAGGTACAGCGATGTCGTCCAGGGCCAATTTAGTGTTGCATTGCTGGGTGATATGGTGGTATTGCCTGCTTGGAAAACCATTTCGCCGCTAAACAGCGTAAGCGGTTGCAGAATGAGCAGCACGGCAAGAAAGTCACCCAGAGGTGCGACGCGAGTCACCCGTCGTCCAAGTCTGAAGGAAACTGCATAGTGATACCCGTATTTAATACGGTTTTTCCATTCAGTTTACTCTAAAGCAACCAATGATAATGACAGCCACACATGCATCGCCATAACTGTAATAGCTCATGATCAGGTCATAAAATTTCATTATTAATCGTAGATAGTAGAATAACAAGCAAACCAATTTTACAGTATAAAAACAAATAAAAATATTGTGGAAATATTGTGTAAATAAACTGATGGACGAATTTGACTAACTGGACACATTTTAAGCGCATAGTGGAAGTTGTCCGATAAGGTTCTCACTAAAAGTCCACGGTGCGCAGCGGCAGTAGAAATCCCGGAATCAGGAAGTAATGTTACTGCCCCTGTATTTTTACAATCCTTACGAACTTGTTGTTTTTCGTGCGCTTAACGGTTTCGTTTAAGACTATGAATACCACTGTATACATTGAAACGTTCAGTAAAAAAGTTTGTAGTTATGCTCGTAATATGGGAGTGTTCATTTTCCCACTTTAAGCATAGGACTAATAAGTTATACGTCTTCGGCGGCACAAAAATGCACATTGTGCGGGTAGCCCTTTGGGCAGCAGTATGACAACATGAGGTTTTTTAAGTAGAAAATATCACCAATATTATCATGACTGATGGTCAACATACTGCTTTACCGTACCTAAGGAGACCTGTGTTACGAGTAATAACTGAACCTTGTCAAAGATACGCGAAAAGCGCGCAACTCAATCAATGGCCATTGGCTTTCTTGGTCGATTGGCGTGCTTCTACGAAATTCGATGATTAGTTGTACTTATAGACTCAGTCCAGCAACAATTTTGTTATGAATGCTCATACTTTTGCAAGTGATAATCTGATAAAATGCTCTCCGGAACCTCGCACTCATAATGTTATACAAAACTGGATTTATCGCCGAGTTGAGATAAATCAGTGTCTTGACGAACAAGGAGTACCATTCATTGATCCAGGGTGTGACAGCAAAGGTGTTGTACCATAACAGCCCACGGAATGGCAGCCAGGCAATTGCAAATATTAATACGGTCGCAAAAAGCATTCGCACGACCTAGAAAGTGCCTTGTCAGTGTCACGTCTTTGCGGGTCATGTGTAAAAGGTCACCAGTGCTTGCTGATACGTTGTCGTTTTCAAATTTATGTAGCGAGCTGCGTACATGTTTACGCTTACCTGTATACGGGCTCTGATTCGCTTGCGTTGAGCTATTACTAATTCAATCCGACTAAAAACACAGATATAACCTTTGCCGTTAATTACAGCGCTGCCATAGGTGGACAAAATTGGCTTGCTGGGCTCTTGCTTATCATTATGCCGCATCGTTGACTCCCCTGAGAGTTTCCAGTCCTCCACCGTGTTAATCAAAACATTAATCGCCGTTTCACGTTTGCGCAATGTCTCGTCGATCCTTACGTAGATTATTAGCGCTGCCAACAGCGGAGTGCAGTAAAATAACAACAAATCCGCTCCAAAAATTATTATGTAGTATCCTTGCGTTAAGCGAAAATCGCAGATCTCCCAGTCTATGTCTTCAATGGCTTTTGTTTTGGTGAGACCGAGCCAGGGTGAGCAGTAGACTGCGGTGGCGATCCATAAGCAGATGATGATCTTGCGCGTGCGCTCCACGGTGCACATTTTGCGGGCTAGCAATGGACGGCAAATGGCAAGGTAGCGCTCAAAGGTCATCATGGTCATGCTGTAAAACAAATTCTCGTGAAGAAAATAGAGACGTGAGATTTATTTCACAATAACGTTAACAACGTCGACATACATGTGTGCAAGATTGCATTGTTAATGGAAGGTAACTTGTAATATAAAATTCAAAGCAAGTGCTACATTTTTCGATTTAAATAAAAGAAAGATCAAATGCGTTTGAACAGCGAAGTTTTCCGGAAGGCAACGCGTTTAACTGCGGTCCGATTTCCGAATATGTGATAGACGTTGAAGTTCTGATGTCCACATTACCTGGCGACCCCGGCATTAATCCCGAAAAAATTGAGGAAAACAAATACGGAACAGCCCACTTGGCCAAGAAACCACTGGTTTTGAAAATGGTAAGACACAATGGCTTCTGGAATGGCCGTCAAACAGACCAGTAGATCGGCATAGGCCATCGATACCTAAGAAATCCGTACAGCATTACCGACAGAATGGAAACGGAGAATTTTATTCATATTCAAAGAACATCTTACTTATAAAAGAAATTTAATATTGTGCTGGCCACGTTTTTCACATCGAAGTTTCAAGGGAGAGAGTGTGATTGGACAGCCGACCATGGATATGCGGTTATTGCGTCGTCTTGAAAATGCATTCTTGCTGTTAACCTTACAGTTCTGGATGTCAGTATGTACCTGTTTTTAAATTTCTACACAAATCCGGTGATCTGTCTTAGGCGATTGCATTAACATATAACTGTAATTTTTTGGTTCGACCATACTTGAAGTCCCTTCGGTGTTGTCTGCTCTTGTGTCGTAACAATAAAAATTATAAAAATCTACTCAAAGCAATAGAACAGGTCCTACAATCTGACAAAATGGCTGCAACTGCGATAAAAGAAAGCCGTTGGCAAGTGTGCACTTGCCAACGGCTTTCTTTTATCGCAGTTGCAGCGGTGCACACAGCGGTGCTTCTCAGACTCATAACTGTGACATACATTTTATAATTTTATTAAACCTTGATGTTCCAGTTTTCACTGCCAGTTATCAATGTTTAGCTGGCTACAACTGCTTTTTTCGTTTGCTTTGAAGAGGAACGATTTTTCTAATCTTTTGAAACATTTAGGAACCCCTTGTTACATGAACGTACCTGTCCAGTTTAAATCAGTAAAAGATTTTCCATATTATCACTTATCAAAAATGTTGAACAGCTCACCAAACAGGAACACAAATCTATATGCTTACCAAGTAGATATACATCGGCTGCTTGAGAAAAGCAGATCTATGTGCCACCGCGACAAGCAGCGAGTTACCAGACACTCCCAGTAAAAAAATGGCTGAATGCATCGTTGTTGCAGTAATGCGAAACGATAGTGTCAACTCATTAACTGGCTCCTCAAACGGAAACACATCCGCAGAAACATTAGAAAACATATCCATGTTTTGGGCCATAAAATCCAACAAAAGCTTTTCGTCGACGTTCGTATTGTTAGCCAGCTGGTTGTAAATTCGTAAGAGGATGGCCAACTCATCTTCGGTGAATGTTGCACTCATTGGTAGTATGAGATTAGCCGGGTATACCGGCAGCAAACAAAGTACTATCAATAAACGACAACCGCCGCTACAATGCCATAATGCCGCTGAAAAGCTCATGGTGTCAGTGAATTAGTGCTCTATCTTGCACTCTTGCAACTTGTATGAAAAAAACTGGCAAGCTGTACGAAGGAAACAGATACTGTAGATCAAGAAGCCGTTCTAGTTCGTGGGTCGGCGTACGTATAATCGCGGAAATGAGCAGTGTTTGGGATGCACGACGCAACAGACTAGGCATAAGACTGTAAATAAAACGAGCCCACCCGGAATGTAAGACAAAGACAGTGGCGTTTCGTGCTCCAACGGGCGCAGTATGCGCCAGTGTATCCAGTTCATTCATTGATTTTTTATGAAGTACCTACGCGTGTTCATCAAAGCATACCCGCCCGGTCGGATAAGACATTATAGTGCGCAATACAAATATTGCTCTTTTCTAAATGACTGACTAATGTGACTATACTACAGTCACATGTTTATGTTGGAGAGCCTGGACGCGTTAATCGGTATGGACGTACCATACCGATTAACCGATTAAGAGTATGTTTGACGCGCATGGGGTCACAGAATGAGCATCTTTTACGCCTCCGATTACTGCCGAATCAGGCCCTAGGGGGTATAGTTTAAGAGCTGCATGTGAATTATCCTTCTTTTGACAGCATGGCATTGATGAGGCAGGTTAAACTGCGAGAAAAATATGTCTGTGTCGAATAGCATTTGCCGCAGTATCAACTGGGTACAGCATTTCTGGAACTGCGTACGGATGTTATTTACCTTCTTTAACAAAACGACCATGCAAGGCACAAAGCGTATCCTCATCCTGGGTACCTGAGCACGGTACCCCTTTTTATTCTGTTGCAAAAAGTTACAGTATCTCCTTATGGACAGTATTACACCATACCGGCATATCAACCGGCCAAATTTACTCGTATCCATTGCTAGAAGTACCGAGTAGGTGTTGCATTTACTACGAAAACTGTCGTTTCGGCGTCGGGCGTCCCACAGTTATGCTCCCTCAAAAAAATGCATGTCTTACCCAGTTTGTGTATTATAATTGTTTCGAATGTGCTAGATTGAAATCCGTTGAGAAAACGTTAGAGGGGACTGTCGAAAAAAAATTGATGTTCCGCCGGCTGATCCGTTCCTATAGACGGACTTCTGGTACTGATGTTTCGGCCAGGAAGACTTTACTGACCATGGAGGCGGAACACTAGAACTTTCTGGGCGCCGTGTAAAAGAAAATAATTTGTGGAAAAAACATCTAAAGCCCGAACAGATACAGGATGCACTCGATACCAAAGCTGCCACGATCGAGTTATTAACCAAGGAATAAGAAATATGGTGCGGAAGGAGGTGAGGAGGTCATAGAGTTCCCTATGAAATCACGGGCAGTGTAATAATGTTGGAAGGCAGAGTAAGAATGTCAGTAGCATGGCGGAGGATTTGTGACGCATCATGGGTTAGCCGAAGTGCCAAGGTTCTTTAAGCCGGTCTTGCGAAAAAAGTGGGTTCTTATAAATTTTGGACAGAAACATCCAAGTCGCAATAGAACTCCGGAATTGCTAGCCTTTTTTTCGATGGACGGCCATTTTCTAAAACAAAATTTGTGGATTATATTCAAGATAAATTTTCAACTGCAGTTTAAATAGATTGGCCCGGCGGCTAGAAACCGAAGACAACAGTTTTTCAAAAAGAGGGTTTGGATGCGCTGTATGCGCCGGCTCGACGGTCGCCAAAAAGATATTCTTTTTGTTCGTTTGAAATGTGTCACAAAAAAAGAAACTAATGGGCAGCAGAACAGAAACCTCCCTCGCCCATACGACCATACCACCACGTGCGGCATAAACATCTTTGGTGAAAATCTGGCTCTTGAATGTCTGGTGAAACCAATGCAGTGCTATTAAGGTGACTCGTGGCACAACTACAGCCTGCAGGTATGACTACTACTGCAATACCCAGAACATTTATTATAAGAGATCGCAAATGTTTACCGGATGTTTCGCCATTACAGTTAAATCTAACTCCACATACAGGTTGTAAAAAACTTTGTGTAAATAAATACACGTGGAAAACAAATACAATAGGGTAGGACTTTAAGCGGCGTGCCCCATGGGCCGAAGAGTAGGGGGGATTGTGTACAGCGAATCGACTCACATATGCAGAACAACTGACCTCACGCAACTTTGTTGCCCCAAACTCAAAGTCCGCTTGAAAGCTTCGAAAACAGATAGAGGTAACGTAACGTTCGAGTGTCACAAATTTTCATTAGAAAACAATTAGCTTTGCGACTATCGTCTGGGTGGAGCATTTTAACCTAGCAGCCCAGGTAGGGCATTCATTTTTAGAAGACACGAAATTATTGCACCAATAGAGGAGCAACACTGGGTGTGATTTGAATTCGCTTATAGTCCGTGACCATTTTACGGATAGGGGACTGTTTGCCGAAGACGGTCTTCAAGGCTCACGTCGCAACGATCGATAAATCATCACTATACTCACGCCGCATTATTCCGCGGCTAAACGCACTAACACAGATAAAAAGAAGCTTATTCTGGGTCTGTCACTCTTTCCTTTTAAACAAAAAGAGCGAGGTCGAAAAAAATGTCCTTGTCGCAAGACACCAGTATCGATTGTGTTACACTGAAATAAAGAATGAAAAGCTAAGTTTTATAAAACCAGTCACACACAGCGTTTTAAAGTATGGCAATAAACATAATGGAATCAAGCAAAGCCTGCACTGTTAAAGTGAAATCCAGCACTAGATCCACGATGGCCGCCGTGTCGGGATCCAGCGTACTAAAGTCTACTAACATCGACCAGATCAACTGCGGCATCCATGCACACAATAGACTCACCGTCAGCGCCAGCAGCATGCGCAAAGTCCGCGGATCCGGCCCAATCTTCATCCGCCCATCCTGCGATCCGTTACTAACAGCCACGCGGATCATAATTTTCGCCTTTTCATACGTACAATTTACCGTTATAATATAAAAGCGGTAAATACTTAACGTCTGAACACAGTGATGCCTTGTCAATTATTAAAAATAGAATACTTGATTACTCTCGTTATTCAAATTACGTGAAGCGCGGACGGAAGCGCTCAATAATTTGAATGCGGTTGCGATGCTACTAGCTGAAAGGCGGAAGCCCAGTTTGGTTGCGACTTGCGAGTACTTGACTAAACGATCAGATGTGTTACAGAGGATTCTAATATAATTGCCGGCTTCCACAAAATTCGATCGCATTTGGTCAAGACTCGACAGATTTTGAAGGGTTGCCGCTCAATTTGCCGGTGTTCATTCATCTGTCACGCTTGCTTTCGTGCTGACTTCCTTCCATCTCTTTGAACGAAGCCACACCGGCATTCGGCTGACAGAAACTGTAAAGCTGTGCGAGCAGAGGCTGGGTTAAACCGAACAGATGCATAAGCAGATCGCTGTGCCAGTCTGGCAGTTTTCGAACACGCTGGGTCACGTGAGTAGGCACGTAGCGCGGCTGGCCACCTTGCGTTGTTTGCGCACGGAAGTCAGCAGCAGATCTGCTGATCATTGCAATTCAAAAACTATCTTGTACTTTTTTTTAAAAAAATTCAATCAGTACTCTGTATTTTAAACTCCGAAGAAATAATCTTTCAGACAAAAAAATAGTAAGGAGCAAACCAATAAAGTAAGGGTGAGGGAATCTCTCGTAGACATACCGTAGCATACGGCTTCGGTCGACGGTCCCAAGAGAAAATCTCAGGCTCTGTTTAAGCGGAGGTTTCACTCTGATTAATTCAGTAATCAAGAAACCTTGTTAAAAGCTATGATTAATTTAATGGGCTTCGGAAAATAGGTATGACAGCTGAATCTAGAAAAGCAGTGGAACTATTACAATACTAGAAAAATGAACGTTGGCGTGCATTGGCAGACCGGAGCGAGGCTTAAACGAAATGTCCACTACGGAAAAATTGTTAAATAAAGTGAGTTTGTCGTTTATTTTTGAACAAGGGGTTGGTAAGTTTTGACGGTTACGGCTGAGACAAGTTAGAATACTGACAAAAGTCCACCACATGACGGAAGCAAGGCAACTGGTAAAATTTCGTCGGCTTCAAATAAAGATTGGATCTCAAAAGTTTACAGTTACATTAAGGTATGACTAAACAAAAATATTTTTACAACGCTTTTTAAAACTTTTTTAAACTTGTTTGTCCACAAAATCCCATTGGAGCTAGAACGGTTAAGAGATATCGTTTGAAAGAAGTGGTCGAGAAGGGTGAAAGACTAATATGTTGCCGACAGGACACTAATTTTGGCATGTCCATTGTAACATACAGTAACTTAAACGAAACCCCAGAGTTAGTTAAGTTGCACAAGTGAAGTCGAAAGGTCGGGAAATGGAGTTAGTGTGAGGGCTATTAAATCATTTGGTAGGGAAGCCGCAAAAGTTACCGGCTACTGGATAAAAATTGTGAACCTGTGACCTTTAAAAATACAAATTAATGGTATTTTAAAAATATGTTTTGGCAATAATAACCACGGATATGAAAGTGCAGCTAAGGGTTTTAGCCTTCTATTGGACAGAAAAAAGAATGAAGTTACCGAGGTTTTATCATGCAGGTCATTGATTTCGCAGATTATCGCCAAAAGGTTACTATTTCAGCGATGGTGTCTTATGAGACACGAAAAACTGTCAGAGGAGATATTTTTGTCGGGGTCAGTATTGCCGCTAACTATTACGAATTACGCAAAAATCTGAGATGTATTTGACATCGACAGTTCTTCGTTACTTGCCTAACGGACAAAAATTATAGGGTGAAACTATAGGCACCCCTTCCACCCCCGTTTGCTAGAGACACCCCCCTTTTGCACCCTGTTTTACTACAGGCACCCCTTTTCTATTAGAATCTTGAACCCCGTTTATTCAGCGGACTAAAGGCACCTATTTTTATTTTTTTCCCAGAGGTGTAACAAAAATTTTTTCAC